CAATTACTGTGAAATAAGTAATATTCGACAAAATTAAAAGACAAGTATCAAGAATGAAGCTTCATTCGCATCACGCGCCTTTTCATTTGGTCAAGTATTGCTTATTTGGCAGTAATTGTTTCGGACGGAGATCGAGAGTAGACCCCCAGGTTTGTAACGACACACGGTATAAGTTATTAATTCACTGATATTTCGGTAAAGAGAACAGAAATATCTGTCTACCCTCTTTCAGAACAGAAATATCTGACTACACTTTGTCAGCGACTACCCCCATCTCGATTTTTTGCGGCGTCACCATTGTCACTCACTTTCTTCCGTGACTATAGACCTTGTAATCGTTCTAAATAGTCAAAAATAAAAAGTAGTACCGTGGTTAGAAACCAATTTCAAACTTTGTAGAATTTAACTACTACGACGCAGTTATTACTAATACAATGAGTTCATTTAAAATATCAACCACAGTTGACCTAGTCCCTAGCGAATGGGTAAAATATTTGTATGGTAAATCATAGTTCTTCCTATGACCGCCAGAGGCCCTTTAACTTTCTATACAATGTTTAACCCCGTTGCTGGTGACGTCAATACTGTAAACTCATGGTAAAGACTCAGCAACCCATACAAACACTCAAACCAATAACTGAGTGAGGTAAACCAGAGATCAATGACACAAAACGTATGAGTCAAAAAGACATGTAATGAAAAAGTTGTAATGAGTTCAACTGAGCGTCATAATAGGAAAATTTTTCACGTGGTCAATGAATCGACTAGTGAAAAAAAAGTAATAATTGAGGCCCATTGTCTACCAAAGCAAAGTAGAGAAGAGCTATGTACCTGACTGGATTATGTTTCAGCTTCTTTGCTTCCAGCTTGAATTTTTGAGGTTATTCCACGACAAGTATTATGAAGATATTAGGGATAAAAAACCTTTTTAATTTAGGTTCTTAATTCGAGTGTTTTTTGTGTGTATATTACGCGATATACTTTTTTGTTGGAAATGGGATACCTCCCAATGGTCCTATTAAAATCCGAAGAAAATATTCCACTTCTGCGGGTGGCAAATTAGGGAATGAATCCAGTTTATTGGCTATCACCCACTTTCCGTTAACCAATTTCAATAAAATTTAACAAATAGATGTAATTCTTCGAACTTTTGAGTTCATAGGACATTAATTTAGCTAAATCGCACGCATATATCAGAATAACGAAATGGCGACAATGACTAATGAGTAGACAATGGGCCTATCCATTGATGAGTCGACAGTAACCTAAGCTCAGTATTAACTGTTGAATAACTGACGGAAATAAGCTTGGTCTGCCAGGCGCCTTGGAACAAAGTCCAACTAGAACCATAGTAACTTTACGACGAGAAACGAGCGAATTTATAGTACCGGGAGGTCAAATGTCCTAAGTTGCAAATCCGATGCATAATATCTGTCCCAGAAACTTGACAATAGCCTATAAAGTGAAAGGTATATTCCATGTACCTGAAATCGCGTTACAGCATTTTAGGAAAACAATTACCTGTACACTATTTATTACCTGTTAATGAAACATTATTTCGGTTGCGGCATTGAAAATGGTCTGTTCATTTTTACCTGACTACAGGAAGCAAAAAGGAGAATAATGCTGTTGATTGATTAAGTGTCTACTAACGTAACGCGTAGCGCAGCCGACTTTTTGTGCCTTGGGCTAAGAATTCTTTAATAGTATTTTATAACTTAGCTATTGCCAAGACCGGCCTCAACCATGTGAGGTGAATGCTGTTCCAGGAAAGTGGGAACCTATAACGGAAATATTTTCTAAACCATTAATTTGTTACCATTGTTTTCTTTGCTTTTTTTGTCTCTAACTTTGAATTGGAAATTTGGTTAACTATTTAATAATAAATGGCTCCAAGGATTGTGGGACCTTGGGACCTGGCCCCGGCAACCTTTTATGGCACCGGGTGTTACTTCGGAAATAACTTGACATGTCGTAAACTGGCACCATATTTGACGCTATTTAGTGTTAGATTCAAAATCTAATTTAAGCAGTCTATTTTTACACAACTATACAATTACTGTGGTGTAAATTATTCGTGCAAACATGACAAGTTAACGGAGAACCTCGTTAGAACGTAACATCATATACGTCACACATTTGGCATTCGATCATTTAGGTATTTCAAGTAAACATACGAACAGATTTAGAAACACCTAGACCAATGTAGAAACTATGCTGTTGCCATAAAACCTGAGATTAAATTTTCATGACTTCTACGGCCTTCGTCTGAAATTCACGTGAGGTTAACGTTACTAGCGCGTTTATATCGACCCTCTACTCACTAACTAATGCCGAGAAGAACGCCAGTTGCCGTAAAAATGGAAGTAAATTAGTTAATTAATTTTTGTTAACCAACCGTCAAAAATTTGTTAAAACGAACACCAAAAATACATTCGACACGTGTGTTGCCTCTGTACACGGGATTTTCAGGAGTTGTTGCCCAAGCCAGTTGTCGTTGCAAGCCACTTCCTGCTTCGGGCGTTTTTAAGTAGTACAATACCATAATGCCTGTCTCACACTAACCGTAAACCTCCACTTGTTAACGCTCCTGACAAACCTCTTTCTATCTCAGCCACTCGCATCAGTCTCATGATAATATGCCCGTTCATTCTTACTGCTTTAACTTGGGCTTCTTTAAGGACATCTCCAATGTGATCGAGACATACGTCTGCTTCCCCACGTTTCTATTAAACATTCGCTCTATTCGTGCCGTCAATCTACTAAGATCTACTTTTTGTACATGACCAAAATGGATCTAGCATTGGGATAATTTTTAGTTAGTTAGTTAATTTTTTTTTGTAGCTAGTGTCAGATTCGTTTTTTCAATGAGTTATGGCTATTTATAAAAAAGGTAGACATATCACGTTAAACGAAGGATGTTCGCTTTTGAAATCTGAGTCAGATCGTACACCTTATATACGCACATGCTAGGAATGCTAAAATTAGAATTATGAGGAATGCTAAATAAATATATGAGGAATGCTAAAAAAAGGCTGAACTATGATAACAATGCTCATATGGTCGCATACTATAATGACTTCAATCGTCTTTTGACTTCAATAAAAAATTCTGGTACATATGGCCAATGGTACATATTATAAACGTCGTTATCATAATTCAGCCTTTTGTAGCATTCCTCTAAATATGTCCACGAGTAGGTATAGTTACGACAAAAATATCAAATACGCCAGTTAATGAGGAGACCAGACTCTGAATGAATGCGGTAATTTAAAAAAAAAACAAGTTCTCAAAGACAATTCCCAATGACACATGCCCTTCTTATGTCATGAGATTTTAAATATTACGACTTGATTCAAATAACATTCCTTTTCATACTTCATAATTCTTTATTGTCACGAGCGATTATCTAGTTTTATGTAATTTACTTATTAGACTTTATTAAAACAAACATTTTATAACAAAAGTGTTATGTTATTAATAGGTGGACATCTGTAGTTGTTACGTAGAATGTGAATTAAAAGTAATTGTATAAAATGACAAATTGTAAACATAATCGGCACGCGTACTTACTTACAGCTGGCAGTAGCAATAATTCAATACTTCGGGGTAGAAAGGGCGTAAAAAAGAGAAAAAAAGAAATATTTACAGTATGGTTCATATATTTTTTTGCGTTTTATTTTCTACATTTAAGTAAAAAATATATTTTATGCCGAATAGCCATGAGCCGACATGTCGAAAGACTATTTTTTTTTTTTTTTTTGATAAAATTTACTTTTACCTTCTTTACTTCCCCGAAGTATTGATACGGTATAGATACCTACAATTTTATGGCTCAAATTACATACTGCCCTGTAGGTACTTCCGTTAAAACCGTCACCATGTGGTCACACCTTGCTACAAAATAGAAGGAAGCGCGTCCAAGTTAAACTTTTTAGTTGTACACCACTACGCGGATTGGACTTCACATCCATATCGTCGAAGAGTTAACGCTTACTAAAGTTGTTTGAGTATTAAACTCTCTTCGAATTTAATACTGGACATATTCTGACCAGTCGTATTAAAAGGAGTCCAAATCATCCCGCCATTCGTTGTGGGGCTTCCGCTCCGTGATTATCTTGGCCCACAACCGCTCGGCATGCGTCAGACGTGACCAGCCCAGTTTAACTTCAACTTGGCCTCCTTATGAGCTGCATCGACAATTTGAGTTTGTAAGCGCAGCGTAGTTTGCTGCGCTCCATAGCTCGCTGGCAAACCCCGAGTGTAAAAACAAAATTTTAAGCAAATAAATATCATTCATTCATACATTCACTCGATCATTCTATTCACTTTAAAGTGAGGATGTGGATGATAGCATAGTATAATAAGACAAGTGTGGTAACTCTGTACAAACGTAGCAGCGCGGCTTGTATGTGTACGCGCCCGCCGCGTGCCGTGTACAAACTCACACATTTGCATCATCTCGCGATGGACTCGCGTTGTATAGCGCTGGTCGTTCCACTCACTGTTGATAATTCTAATAAAAAAATGTAAATTATGAAAAGTTGTAAGGCTCATATTGTGTTCTATGTCTAGAAATATCTTTTAAAGTTTTATTTAACGTGAATTATAAAAGAAACTTGTACAGCTAATAGCCACAAGAGAGACGAGATTTAAAATTATTTTGCGAAAAAATCCGTTATAATGGCTCCAGCGTCTTCGTTCAGTAACTTCTGCTTTTGATAAGTGCCAATGTCAAATGTGAAAAATTAAAGAAAAAATATTGGCATTTTGCTGTCCGGGAAATATTATATTTTTTTGAAAATGGCAGTTTGACCCTAGGTCGTCCTTTCGCGCCTTTCATTATTATGCGAATGAGCGCGTCCATACCTGGCGTGGAGTTCCCATATAGAGTTACAATACTTGTTGCTTATTTATTATACTATGATGATAGCACATACAGCATTATCAGTATCAGAAATAAAAATAAATACCTAACAAATTGTGTTTCATTGTTTCAGATGCGCCGAATGATGCGAATTACATGATTTGCGGCGTCGTGATCGCAATGGCGATGGTCGGGCTCATTATTGTGCTGCTAGCTCTTACTATTAAGTAAGTATTACATTTGCTTTGTGTAACGTTTTTTTATATTTAACGATTGCAAAAGGTTCTTTAACAAAAGGATGACGAAATGGATTGGAACACTAGAAATTACAAAGCAACTTAATTTCTTAGATGACACGAACACTGATCTTAAAAAGTGCTATGATACAATGTTTTTGTGATTCATAATTATAAACTGTACTTTATAAAGGCTGCATAAAATGCATCTAATGTCTCTTGGAAACATCTATCATGACGTAATAACTACATTTTTTACTATTCATCATTATTACACAACTACACGGGAACACACGTTTTTTTTTTCGATTAAACGTTCTGGTATACGTGGCTAGGGGTTCATATATGAACGTTGTTATCGTAATTCAAACTTTTTTAGCTTTTCTGTAAAATTGGTAATTAAACCGTGAATTTTCCTAAAATGTACAAAATAATAAATAGGTTAAGACATAGTTTAATAAATAGTATACTATATCATTTAAATACAAAAACATTTAAGAGCAAAATATTACAAAAGAAAAGTAATTAACATTAAAATTCGCGGCAAATTTGCTAAACAACAGAAAATGTCAATCGATCTTTGACCACTACAATGACTAATTAGTAAAATATGATAACGTCAGCAAATGTGACTTAAGTTTATCAGCAGGTTATAAAATGCTGAACTTTTCAAAATTATTTATAAGAAAAATCAATTTGCAATAGTTACGTTAACGATTGTTATGCACGGTATAACGAATAACAAATGATACTATTGTACGCAATGGTCTTTTGTGTTATACATATAATTTTATTCTACATTGCTTTATAGTTCTTAGTATTGGATATGAATAATATGGATATGAAACATGTTTTTCGGATCTAACTTGAGTATATTTGTTTTGCCGGAACCAATATTTCCGGTCCTTTGCATGTCCCGTAGATGTCGATTTTTTGAAAAAAAAAATTTAAATCCGAAAAAAATATTTTTTCTGAATTATTTCCGATATATAACAATCCCGAAAACTTAAGAACTCGTTAAAATTTGTAATATTTTGTAATGATTTTTTGCGATATATTGATTGCATATTGAAAGTTTGTCCAGAAACAATGCCATATTTATTGAATCTATTATTTCAATAAATATGACATTGTTTCTGGCCAAACTTTTAACGAAAAGCATACAAACATTTTTTAATCACTCAACGGCAGTTCGACAAGAGGTAAATTTTTTTCAAGAGGATCCATGCCTTAATTTACTACACTTAAAGATGAAATATTTTCTTCAAATTTTAATGGGATCGCTACCAGAGGTACCACCTTTACAAGAAAAAAAAAAATCGTCGAAATCGGTTACAAATGCCGGAATAATTGCGAAATATCACACAACAAAAAAGTACAGTCGAATTGAGAAGCAACTCCTTTTTTGGAGTCTATTAAAAAAGAGTCTTCAGAGATTTCAGATTCGTGGATTATCTATCCACAAATCGTAGATTTCTTTTAGATCCCGAGATATGATGAACCTTCTAGTTGATCACAGAATACAATAAATTTGTTTGACGTTATCATAATACATTTTTATAAAAACAAAGTAATAAAAGGTATCAGTGCGATTTTGATCGTCAATCATACTTAGAATGATAAAATAAAACGCGAATTTGAATCCTGAAACTTAGCTACGAGAACTTAATTTTAATTAAAGCCTACTTGATCAAAACTTGTGAATAATATTCTTATTCGCGATCTCTTAAAATATCATTGACCTTTCAAAACTAGCCCAACTATTTTAAGACTGAAAATTTTCGCTCGTTCTTAATATTTTTATCATCAAGGTAAACAGAGTGCGTTTGAAAAGTAATTATTTTGATTGGAAACTAGATTAAAGATGATGGATCGTATAGTAAATCATACTGCACGATATCCGCGCCAGATTAGATTTGTTAATCCCTCTGTTGAGTGCCGGGTAACATTGGAGATAAAACTGCGAATTTAGAGCAAATCTTTTGGAGTTTGACTAATATTACAAAGGCGGTTGTGAATTAATCGGGGCTGTACGTGCTAAACACCTTAATAATACAAATTGTATGAAACAACACTCTTCCATACCGTTTTTTTATTTATTAGATTGAATAACAGTTGTTGCTATTTGTTTTAATTGAATGTGAGAACGTATCACCACCATGATATTCAATTATTTTCTTGTGAACAGCAAAATAGTCGTTAAAAACTAAAAACAAAGATCTACAACAAACAGATGGAAAAATTCGTGAAGTCCGTTGGTTCGTTCCGTAGCTCAGTTGGCGTCGGGCACGGTTTGCTAGGAGACGTTGGTTCGAATCCAACCGGATCGAAGTGAACTTCTTCTAAGTGTTCGATCTTTGTTTAATATTTATAATTGTTGTTACATCAATTAAAAGTATAATTTTCGAGTATTTTTTTATGATACCAGGTGACGGTATGGACTAGTTGTGTGCCTCACAAAGATCTGAGGGGAACTGCCAATGTGCCCGTCACCTTGCACATGTGCCTGTAATTTTACCAGCACCCTGAGCGTGATTATCGTAATATTTTAGTGCTATAAAACACGAATACAAGGATACAAAAACGATACAAATAGAAAAATAATAAAAAAACTTTACTAGCAGAAGCTTTCAATTCTGGTCGTAGATGACTTCAGAGTTATCTAGCATGCATTTTTTAGTTAGAACCCATCAATTAAATTTAAATACCCAATAAATGGTGATGTCAGACAGTACCGAATCCGTGATTCTTTTCATTGTTGTTTTTGTCAGCTGTACTATTGTAGTGAATCGAATGTGAAACCAGCTTTATAACTATAATAATAGAATTATTTCTTTCTCAATAGATATCATATTTAAGAGATAAGGTCCAGAGCAATGAATGAAATCAGTGACAAATGTGCGCACAGTTAAAACATATAGTACTAGAAATCTGAAAATTGGAGGATATGTTACTTTTGTTTAGTGTAGGAGAACTAAAAACGGATTTTCATTAATAAACTCCTAAAAGCTTAAAAAAATGTTTGTGAGAAAAATCGTAATCCTTGAACTTACAAAGATGAACTTTAGTATAAATATTCCATAGTACAAATGGTAAGAGATTGGCATAACATTTTTTCAAAACTACCCGCAAATTTCTGTGAAATGGGGTATTAAAATTTGTGTGAGAAGTTTTTAACGCATGGCGCGATTTGTTTTAAACTTCTTTCTTCTTTCTTTTAAACTTAAATAGGCGTAACCAAAATACATAATGCATGTAGTTTAACTAGTAACAAAAAACGTATTAAGTGAAAAAATATAAAACCCGGTTTTTTTAATATGTTTAGTTTGTGTTCCAATATCATCTGATGTTCTTGTAATTCCTTACAAACATTGGATAACGTTTCCTGTAATTATTGAAGTCTCATGTTCTGCATACGTAATGTAATCGAGTTACGAGACTTTAGGTGTCGGGTTTTTATGACATGTGGCCTATATTTCGAATAAACTTCCTCTCACTGTTCTATATTAATTTGTATTACGAATTTGGGTTTTTAGTTTTTGGTTTATGCTCTGCATTTTTCTTTTTTATACGATCTACAGATATGTATGACGATTTCGGTGGGCCAGTGACTTGCACTGTGGGTGCTAGATGGGAAGGTCCCAGGTTCGATTTCTAAATAGATTCTGGTATTTCGTATTCGAATAGCGTCCCGGAGATAATTTTACTACTCGGGTTCTCATTGTATAGGGAATTTCCTTCTTTCAGACGTTTATTGAGACGTTATAATAGATCTTTCATAGTCATAAACTTTAAAAGTGTTTATATACACTACATGTGTATAAAGTACGATGTGGAGTACGTATACTCGTGTATATTAAGTTAGTTTGTATGAGGATTGTGTATATTTCATCCTGATGAACTGCCTCCGTGGCCGAATGGTTACCATCCTGGACTGCCACTCAGAGGTTGCGGGTTCGATTCCCGGGCCGGGAGAAATATTTGTATGACCTACATTTATTTTTCTCATGAGTTTGGGTGTAATTTATGGATGTCTGCCTATGTATATGTCCATGGTACCCGCGATACAGGGTTTCCCAAGTGCAGGGCTATGAATGTGATCTTGTGCACGGGGAAAAAGCGAAGGTTCCATAGTCTCTGCTTTCTCCAGCGTAAGCTCAAATTGAAACTCACAATCGTAGATTCTTTTTAAAATTTAACCATTAATTGCTGGTAAATTAGTCGAGCACGCTAACTTACTTAGTTAAACCCGGAATTAATTTACTTAAGTCATTAACGTGTGTCAAACTTATATACTTCTATATAAAATAACTTACTGCCAGTACATATTGTGGCCGCAACAAAATTGCAAAAGTTAAATTATAAAAAGAGGGTAATTTCAAAAACGGATTTAAAACAGGAATTGAAGTTTCTAGCAACTTAGTTGGCTCGGGGCCCCGTACGGCGCACGCGCATGTTTGCAGCTATATCTTAACTTATTATTGTGAATATCTTTGTAAATATTGTGTTATCACCTAATAAGACGTCTTTAATAAAACAAACGCCGTTCGTGTAAAAAAGTATCGATAAGATAACTAAAATATAGATTTTTTTGTAAATAAGTGTGTGTGTATATATAATAGTATAAAATAAAAACAAAAAATAAAACATAACAAAAAACTTCATTCCTAGTGTGAAAATTAACAATAATAGTTCTTAGAATTAACCTCTTTAAGTATTGTTTTTTTTAAACTAATAAAATAATGACAAGCATTTTGGTGTTGACTAAGCTGAAGCGATCCATCAAAAAGTTACTGACGAAATTGTAAGTAGTTGATTACTCATAAAAAAAAATTATTCAAAGTAAATTGTGGGTGCGAATCTGGGTTTTCTCAGAATTTATGTGCGAAATTTAAATTGAAATTTACCATGAGCTTTTCGGAGAAGGAAAACATCGTGATGAACCTTCGTCGACGTACACGTCGAAGAAGGTTCACATCCCTCGGAAAACG